GTAAATTTTTTTATGACAAGTATTATATTCTTTTTTTTCTTTAATTTAATTGTATAATATAAATATGAAATAAAAATGTAAAGACGTGAAGAATTTGAGCAAGGTGGAGATTTGATAGAGCTGACAAAACATTGGTCGTCCACTTTTAAATGTCCCGATCCAATCACTTTCCTTAATATAGCATAATAGCAACAACAATTATTAAAAATAGCCAATTATTAAAGGATGAAAGTTTTTAATTTCATTTTGCATTTTACCACAATTCAAACACAATATATGGTCACCATCGAGATCAAAATGTCGTACAAGTAATTCTTATTCAATTCCCACTGTTTCTTTTCCTTTTATAGTTTGAATTTAAAAACCAAAATCCCCCTATATATAATTCTAGAATGCGCTGAGCCTACGTGGCTGCTTCTGGTGCTTCGGAATCCTACTTGGCGAAAAATCATGCTTCGTAATTAGTTTTGGACAAATAATATTGATATATTAATAATTAATAATCTAGGTTCTGACATTCCATAAATATTATTTACCTAACTTAGGTATTTTAATATCACTTGTACTAATATAACCCTTTAATTCTTTGTAATTTTACATAGTGAGGCACTAAGTGACTAATATATCCCTGACTTTTGATTTGTTTCCTTCAATTAGCTATTTAATTATAAATGTATTTTAAAAGTTGATAGTTTTTGTATTTTTTATCGGTTTTACATATATAATATAGCAAATTAATCATCTTTTCATGATCTTCGATTTGATATCCATATTGTATATATAAAATAAATAAATTATATTTATGTTTATAATAATAAAAAATAATAATATATTTATTAAAATAATTTCTCAATTGATATATTTATGTTTAATGTAGTTATATGTTGTAAGTTAAAAAAATTATTATAATATAACACAAATAAGTCACACACATAAAAAGTGTCATACTAAATATATAATAATATATACATATTAATAAAAGTTATTTAAATTTTTAATTAATTTTTCTCATTAAGTTTTTATTTAAAAAAAAAAAAATTAGCAAGTACCCGTGTAATACACGGGCGTTGTACTAGTTGCATTATAAATTGCAAAAACTAATAATAACAATAAAAAAACAGTAAGTAAAAAAAAAACCACGGGCGGGCCGATTTGGTCCGCGGGCTAATGCGGGCGGGCTACGGCCATGGATTTTCCAGCCCGTAGAAATGCGGGCCATTTTTGGCCCGCCCCGTTTGAAGCGCGGGCCGAACCGGGCCGGCCCGTTTGACAGTGCTACTAATAAGTAATAAGAATTAGCATATTTAATTATAAATGTGATATAATATTCATGAAATTAGTCCCGTTAAATAGAACTCGACCCAATTTATTATTATTATTATTACTATTATTATTATTATTAAAAACAACAGACTTGATAAGTAAGAAAACATAATTACAAGCGGCTCAATAGTCGGATAAACCAACTACAAATTGAATTCATCAGATTGAGGTCTATCATAATTAATCAGACTTAACTAACTTAAATTTAACTAACTTAAATTACAAATATGTTTAAATGTTAATAATAATTCTCATATGTTTATCAAATTTTCATATATCTTATAAAATTGTTTTTGGAGTGTTTTTGTGGCGGGCATAATTTACCGCACCAATTATATTTTTTTAGAAATTAAAAACAAAGAAACAAAAAATAAGGCCAATGGCGACGTCTCCAGTATCCTCTTCAGCTAGTTTCTTCAGAAATTCTCTCTCCCCCACTCTTTCTTTCACCACCAAATCCAAGTCCTTCTATTTGAAAGCGGCAGCGGTAATTAAGCTCCTTAAAATGCCTCGAAATTTGTTTTATCTGCAGATTTTATCTCAATTTTCGATAAATTTTCTCCATTTCTTTCATTTTTATCATTTTTTTTTAAATAATTTGGCGAGATGCAGATGGGGGATAGCGAGATTAAGGAGGAAATTAACGAGGGTTTGAGCGAGAAGAAGAGAATCTTCGTCGCCGGCGCCACCGGCAGCACCGGCAAAAGGATCGTGGAGCAGCTTTTGGCCAAGGGATTTGCGGTTAAGGCCGGCGTTAGGGACGTAGACAAGGCGAAGTCAACATTCCCTGGGAACAATCCTCGTCTTCAGATTGTGAGTGTTTTGGATTACTTTTCAGCATGATTAATTAGCTTAAAAGTTGTTAATTAGTTCTGATTGGAAAGTATTAATTTGTGTGTGAGTTGATGTGGTGTTACTGTAAGTCCAGTGAATTATCTGTTCGAATTTGTAACCTCCCCAAGTGCTCGGCACTTTGCGGGTGACCGGTTCTAGGTAGAGTTGTTATTTGAAGTTTGAACCGATTTGGTTGTGAACGCAACTCGGTTCAGCTTGTGAAATATTACTCAAACGAGTCGACTTTGAATAACTAATTGGACTCGTTTAATAAACAAGTGGAGTTGAGCTCGTTTTGCGAAACATCTTGTTTATAATATTTGTATTTTGTTAGATTTCGAACGAACAACCGAGTCGAACATGTTTGTTAACGCACAACTCGTGCTTGCGGACTGCTAGTTTACTATTTTGGGCTTGTTAAACGAGTCGAGTTTTCACGAACTTAAACAAGCCGAGCTTGAGACAAACCTTTCGTTCATTTATTAAAAGGGTCAAGCCGAGCCGAGTGGGCTCGTTTCTGAGAGCTTGCAGGGATCGTGGACTTGATTAGTTCATGCAACATATTGAACTAATTGAATTTTGAAACTCGTAAAATTCAGAATTGGGTCGAATAGTTTTTTTTTTTTTTCCTCAATGTGTTGGAAATAGCTGTTTTTCTGTCTCTCATGATTCAGTTTTGAGTTGCATTTGTTAGAAACATGCACAAAGCTTCTGTTTTATTCCGTTCCTGTATTCGAGAAACCACTTAGAGGCACACAATTTTTCTTATCAACTTCTACCTTAACCTCTAAATTCTAATTCGTTAGACTTGTTCCGGTGAATTGTTTGTTTGAATTTCAAAAAACCCAAGTGCTCAACACTTTGCGGGTGACGGTTTTAGCAATTGAGTATGAAGACTGAGATAGTCGCTGGGATTTATATCTTTATTGCATAGGCATTTGCGAAAATTCCATTTATGAGAGCTTGTAGAAATCATTCATGCAACATATTGTATTATTTCGAAACATGAACGAAGCTTCTTGTGGGAGGATATATTTATTTTACATGTTTATTTTATTTTATCCCGTATTCAAGAAACTACATTCGGTAAACATGTTTTTCTCAGAGAAATACTTTAAGCATTAAAAGCCTTCGTAATATCTAGCTTTTATTTGTAGTGATAAATTTCAACCTCAGGCCCATGTTTGAATAGCGCCTTCTCATCTACTTTACATTCTAATCATAAATAGTTCTATCTTTTTTATTTTTTAGGTAAAAGCTGATGTGACTGAGGGCTCAAACAAATTAGCCGATGCTATCAGTGACGACTCGGATGCAGTAATATGTGCTACCGGTTTTCGGCCCTCGTGGGATCTATTGGCTCCATGGAAGGTTTGTCAGCTTCCCAATACACACTGCTTTTCAATGATTGCATTTTTTATTTTTTTTCTTAATTTCATTTCTTATACAGGTCGATAACTTTGGCACCGTGAACTTGGTTGAAGCCTGTCGGAAGCAAAATGTAAAGAGATTTATTCTCATAAGTTCTATTTTAGTCAATGGGGCAGCCATGGGACAATTATTTAATCCGGCTTACATTTTTCTCAACGTGTTTGGGCTCACCTTGGTCGCGAAGCTTCAGGCAGAACAATATATACGAAAATCTGGTATCAATTACACGATTATAAGGCCTGGGGGCTTGAAAAACGACCCCCCTAAGGGTAATATTGTCATGGAGCCAGAGGTAATGATGGTGTTTTCAGTTGCAAGTAGTTTAATTATAAATTACAAGCTAAATTGCATTTTTACTACAGCTGGTTTAAACTTTAGTCCCAAGATTCCAACATTTCGTCTTTTGGTGTTGTGAGTTAATATTTTACTGCAATTTGAATTTTAGTCTTTTGAAGACTGAAATATTTTTTATTAGCAATTTCAGCCTTGTAATTTAAAACTTTATTACAATTTCACTTCTGTAATTTAATATTTTGCTACAATTTCAGAATATTAAATTGCATCAAAATAACAAATTACAGGAGCAAAAGGCAAAAAGTAATTGTGCATAACTTTTGGAGGGTTTTTTGAATTTAGCCAAGTAAACTTTCTTGTTGTCTTGACCGCCACAACTCTACCTCAAAGAAGCCTCATATTATTACAGGATACGCTTTATGAAGGCTCGATATCGAGGGATCAAGTTGCTGAGGTTGCGGTTGAGGCATTGATTTGTCCGGAGTCCCATTACAAAGTCGTGGAGATTGTTGCGAGAACTGAAGCTCCTAAACGTTCGTTTGTGGAGATGTTTGGTTCTATCAAACAGCGGTGATATGATGGTTCGTTATTATCGTCAAGTAGAATCTTCGCATATTGAGTCTAGCACTCGTTAACTGTCTTGTATTTTATATCATTATGCATTTGCCAATTATTGATCATAAATTGTGGGTTTGTAAATGTTGGTTGTTCATATCATGCATTCATTTTTTATTTTTTTTTTTTCGTTTTACCGGTCGATGTTTTAAAGAAAAAATAGTTAAATTTAAAAGAAAAAAAAAAAATGGGTTATAGATCCACCGAGGTGGGTAGCCTTAACCGGATGTGTTAACAGGTAAAGCCCGAAGGCTGTTCCCATCCCTGTCGGGGGAGATGCCAACCATCTCTCCTTTTTCTGAACACAGTAATAAGTAGTTTATTATGTTATAGAAATACAAGACAAAAATTATGTTAGGATTAGATGTGGGATATAATAAGAAAGAACCTTTAACGATGTGGGACTCTTGGCATATTATATGGTGCAACGGAAGTTTAACGATGTGGGACTATATTGGCATATTTGACAACTGACATAACAAAGAGAAAATTTTATTTGTATTATAATCACATATCAAGTTTTGATTTGCCATCACCATATCTTCCCGATAATCGTGCGAAATTGTTAACTCTTCTAACATCAAATAAATTCTAGATTCTGCAGATTATTATCGAAAGTACGAGTGCCGAAATTTGGAACTCTTCTGAAATGAAATAAATTATTGATCTTGGATATATTTATTGTTGAAAGTTTGGCAATATTGGATATAAAAATTTTCAATCCATACTCTATCTAATTCAACTTTAATATAATTTCACTATTTTCAATATTATTAATGTTATTAAATAATATCAACATCACAACAATTTTATCTTACTTTTCCTCTAATATAATTTCACTTTTCAGTATTATTGTTAATAAATAATAGCATCAAAAACAATTTCATTTCACTTTTCCTCTAATATAATTTCACTATTTTAAATATTTACAATATTATTAAATAATATCAACATCATAACAAATTTATTTCACTTTTCATTTAACAAATCGTCATAACAATTTTATTTCACTTCACTTAAAAATCGTCATATACTTTTACAACAAATCAATTTTAATCATCTTTCTTATGTACTTTAATTAACCAAATTCAAGTAAGCACCGAGTAACCCCAACCAAGTTGGGCATAATTTATTTTGTGAAAATTAAAATTTATAATGAAAGAGAAAAAAAAAATACAAAAATAAAGAAAAATTTCCAAATTTTGAACTAGAATTTTAGGGCTTAACCCTTGTAGGGAGCCCTTCCAGAAATTCTCGAGGGCCAAGGACAAGCCCAGGCCCAAGAGGGGGTTTGGAAATAGTTTTCAACCAGCAATAGACGCGCCTCGGTTAATACCTCACTAGCTGCGTCATTGCCCCAAGCGCAAAGACAAAGATAACAGTAGGCGCCCAATCTCAATTTATAACCCCAATCATGGACTTGCTTACGCATGCTTTCGATGTGGGACTCTCTGACATTCGCAATCTCGCAGTCGCAGTCAATTTCCTCTGTTTACAGACTGCAGTATAAACTCTTCAAAAATAATGAAATTTACATAATTTTATAAAAATCGTACTTCTCATTCTTTTTTTTTTTTATATTTTTTTTTTTGTTTTCTATAAAATTTTTATTTAAGTTGGAAAATTTATTTATCATTTAAATATAGTTTATAATATAATCGGAATTTGGCTTACTCTTTTCAGTCTTTCAACACGTCAAATCATTGTAGGATGAAAAATAAACTGCTTTCATTATATAACTACATAAATGTTCAAGCCTTGTGTACATTAAAACTTATAAAAGTATTGAATACTTGGAACATGTTTATATACAACAAATCTCAACAAAAATTTCTAACATTTTAACTCAAACACTTTTTGTAACTCAACTTTAACTCAATCAACTATCATTAATATTATCAATATAATTAAATAATATCGATCATTCATTCACACACACCACATCAACCTTAATTCAATATTCATCCATCACACTATTTTAACTAACCATCACATCAAATTTTTAATTATTTTATTTTAAATATTACTTTGATATACCTACTAAAATTAACCATACTACCTTTTTTTAACAAAACCAAAAGTTTGGATTTTGTCTAGATTTCGTGTTTGGATATTAACAAATTGAGAATGATGAGGATGATTTAAAATTGAGAAAAGAAAATGACCGGGTTAAAAATATTTAGATTTTGTCTAGATTTCGTGTATCCAAATTCCAAGCACACACTTCACTTTCAGGTCGAGTTTCCATCAAGTTAACTAAGAGCCTTAGCTCGACCTATTGCTAACTGTTGAACCTCGGAGGTCATCACCGCCCTGTTACTATACGACCTCAAGTCTTCTTATTGTTCGACCTCTGGTCAACCTACCAGTTTACATGGACTGCTCAGTAAAATATTCATTGTACTCTTCAAGAAAAAATACTAGTGAAAATATTTTTTATTATTGTTTTTTTTAAGGTAGTTTCTATACTGATTTTTAGTTTATTCAATAAGGTTGATTTGCTAAACAAATGTTATAAATGAAGTGGTTAACTGTTGTTTTTTAAAAGAAAATAAAAAAATGAAAACTCATTAGAAACAAATATAAAATAGAATGTCGTACGTACATTGGTGGTGACATTATAATACTTTAATATTTATTTCATTATATGTTATTATTGATTGATATGGCGCTCATAATAAACTTGTTCTTGATTCGCCACCGATGTCGACTAGAATAAAACTACCTTAACATCGATAACAAATGACTCCGTGGCCCAATGGATAAGGCGCTGGTCTACGGAACCAGAGATTCTGGGTTCGATCCCCAGCGGAGTCGATAAGTGTGTATTTTGTTAATTTCTATTTATTTTTATTTCGCACAAGCATTAATTTATTTTTGGCTTCTTTCTCTCTCACATTGCCAGAAACAGTTAATCAAGAATAATTACTTTGTGAGCAGCATTACTTTGGCGGTGTCCGCTGAAAGGCGCTTAGGAGGGCTTGGAGTGGGTCGGCAACTCCGATGGATTGCGTGGTGTGCACCTCAGTCGGGTGTGGTGAAAATAAATATGGATGGCTCCTTGATTAATTCCACGGGCATGGCGGAAGCGGGGGGCCTCGTGCGGGACGCGGAAGGCCACTGGTTAGGAGGTTTCGTGATGAATATTGGGTTCACTACGATTACTGGGACAGAGCTTTGGGGACTACTTCAAGGTCTCTTACTTGCTTGGGATTTGGGGTGTCGGAAAGTGGTAGCGGACGTGAATAATAAAAGTGTCGTTAGCATGGTGTTGGGCTCACCACACGAGAGTTGGGGAATGCATGGAGCTGTAATCCGGGCCATCCAAGAGATGCTGAAGCGAGAATGGGTAGTGTCTGTTGTACACTGCTATCGTGAAGCCAACTTTGCTGCGGACTGTCTGGCGACCTTAGCTCATTCATGTCCTAATGGTTGCCAGAGACTATTTGACCCTCCACTGGAAGTTAGGCCGTGGCTCCTACACGATGTCGTAGGCGTCGTTCACCCACGGAACACTACTATCTAGTGGATTTCTAGGCTACGGCCTCCTTTCATTGTACTAAAAAAAAAAAGAATAATTAAAAATTAGGTTTTAAGAAAGCAGCAATTCATTTTATCTCTATTTCCTAACTACAAATAATATGCATTGTTCACAATATGCACAACCAACCAAATTTTGGTTTCAAAAAAAAAAAA